AATGACAGTTGAAGAGGTAGGAGATGATTATACAAAAGATGGAACCGTTGATCTTAAAGGCAATCCGGTTCGAAGATCCATTAGAGGTCGTTGGAAAGCTTGTTCCTTCGTAGTTGGTATTTATTCTTCTTCCAATATTTTGTTTTCCTTTTTATTGATTGTCTTTTTTTTCCCCGCAATATTTACAAATAAATTGATTAAATTAAAGTGAATATGCTAAAGTCTTGTGAATTTTATGTGTTTTAAAGATTATGATATAAGTTTATCTTAAAGTCTTGTGAATTCTGCTTTACATATGAAATTTATAAAAAAAAAAATCTGCCATGGGTCTTGGAAACCTTTCAATGGTTACGAGAGAACGTACAAAATTGGTGACGTTATCTTATCCGACCTATTAATTAAGAAACAAGATGGAATAAAATTTGAGGTCATAAATATCATATTATTTTGTGACAGATTATTTTCCATATGAAAAATCTCCAAAGTCTTTGACTTTTTGCATTTTTGCAATTGCCTCAACATACTTTGAGTTTGAAATAATGGATACATAGCTGAAACGAAAAAGATATGTATTAATTTGCCGTTAACCATATATTGAGTATTAGGGGTTAGAAGTTTTTTTTTTAAACGATATAATCACAATATAATGGTAAACGGAAAATTAGTACATATCCAAAATTTCAAAGTATATTTGTTTTCCAATTTTTCATTTTAATTTTAACATTAGTTAGAATAGATATTAATCTACCCATATAAATTACTAGGAGATATATTCTACAAATTAACACATTTAATTATACCTTTGTATTTCCAAAATTTTATCTCTCCTTATATGAATCTCATTATTCAATTATGTTTTCATCAATTATTAAAATGTTATTTTGTGATAATTAGTGTACGAGGTGTTTGAACGGATGGCTTATTATGGAATATCGAGCAATCTAGTCATTTACATGACTACTAAATTGCACCAAGGCACGGTCAAGTCGTCTAACAATGTGACCAATTGGGTTGGGACTAGTTGGCTCACTCCAATCTTGGGTGCTTATGTTGCCGATGCTCATCTTGGTCGCTATATTACTTTCGTCATCTCTTGCGCTATTTATTTTTCGGTAAGTTTATTTTTTATTCAAGTTTCAAAAAAATATATTTATTATTCTACAACCAATAAAAACACACAAAATGAAAAAGAAAAACGTAAGAAAGTTAATTATTTTTGAACATATCAAAGTCGTGACCACATATTGAACTAAATTAGGTAAGTGCGCCTAAAAACGTGAATCTAAGTATCTAAGCATGGGAGCCTAAAAACGTGATGATTGATGAATATGCTATCTTTGTTAACAGTATGAGCATTTGTTTTTGTTATGAATCCTCTCTTTCAGATTACAAATGTCTCATAGGCTATAAGCAGCAAAATGATTAATATAAGCTGGTTAGTGTCTAAATATGGTTTAAATTTCAAGAGTGAAATTGTTATACGGTCGAAAAAACAATTTAACTTTTTCTCAATTTTTTGTTTTTTCTTTAATAAGTTTCAATGTTTTATATATGTGATGCCTATAAAGTTTTTTAAAAAACCATTTCATACGTTCAGCGAGAAGTGATTTACACCATAACAAGTTTTAAAGGTCGTAGATTTCGATCTTGAATATTCAATCCAAGTTTCAGATAAGTGATATTTTCTTCCAAAAAATATTAAATTGGAGTCAACGAGAACAGATTAGAAATAAGACAAGGACCAATCTAAATTCCACGTTAGAGTCAATAATATCAATCCAGTTTTTGTTTGTTCTCATACACTATATATAGACCATTGACTAGAGAGTATGCATCTATCTTTTGCCTTTTCTTTTATTGAAGCGTGCAATACTTTTCTACGAGGAAAAAAAATACATTACTTTAATTTGGAACTATATTTGTATATAAGTGACTTTGAAAAAAATCATTACTTTAATTTCTCTTGTCCCGATCGGAAATTTTAGAAAGTGGTTCTACAGACGAGAAAAATTGTGGATCCAAACAATATATAAAAGGAAATAAATATTCGAAAGACTTATCTACTACTGCTACATATGGTAATGTTGGTTTAGGATTAGAATGTTTTCTTTCATATTTCTATTCACATCTTTTTTTGTTAGGTAGTACATCTATATATTAATCAA